ATGGATGAAACTTCTTTGTCTTTCGACTTATCATGATTTCAATTCGAGCTTTGGACATGAAAAATTATGATTTACTGTTGTATTAGCATGCACAGCAGGTGGAACAAATTACCATTTTAATAATTTTTTAAATTATCTAAAGTATCTTTCCTTCAGATATAATTATAAGAACGAATCTAAAAGTTGAATAAATGGATTGAAAGAATGTTTTGATTGAAAACATATGGAATCAGCATAGAAGATTGAGTCGGTTACTCGCTGTCTCAAAAAAATTACAATTATTACTGTAATTCTGATGAATTAGCTTCAAAAATTCAACCTTTGGATGTTTCTATCAATAAATCTTTAAAAATATTTACGAATTAAATATCACATAATAAATAATGTAATTTATGAATTCAATATAACATTTCAATATAGTTCTATTTGAAAGTCCGTCATTATTATATGAATAATGTCTAATGGCGCTAAATTATATTAAATTCATCGAATTCAATACCCACCTTACGATTTAATTGACTGATACATTCACAACGCTTGGAATAGAATAGAGTCTTCTCTGATTCAAAAAATTTTTCAAAGTTTCAATTCTCAAGATGGGAGATGGTAAAGAAGACCCGAGCAGATAAAATTTGCTCACCCTGTGCCACCCATCAAACACATTTCATATATTCTATTTCTTAACGCGAACGTGACTTAAAATGTTGACAATTGGCTCATGTGAGATCATTGTTCATTAGTGTCCATTTAAACTTGCATTTATCACGCAGATTAGGCGTTCAAATTAGTGTCAAAATATGAATTTGATCATCCGATTTTTATAAATTTTCAATAGATTCTTTGATAATGCATGTCTTTATGTGTTTTTTATTTAGTATATGTATACATGAAAAAATTTATATATAAACCTATGTTTCAGTTTACTGAAGATTTTTGCAGATCTATATCATTATAAAAAAATTATATATATATATTATACTATACTACATCAAAATATAAATAAATTATAGTAAATATATCAAAAAAGGAAAATGGGTGCCACCGAACATCACGATACCCATCTTTCCGAAAACCCAACTTCACCGATAACCTAAAATCCTGAAAATTCAACTTCCCGACAATCCAACTTCCTACCCATCCAGCTTCCAATCTAACATCCGGACAAACCCAACATCTCAACATACCAACATCTCGATAAAGCATTAACGTAACATCCATTTTTTTCGTGCTTTAAAAATACATTGTAATGTAAAGGATGTTGTGGTGGCGAAGTTAGAGTTTTCACTAGTAAAGCTTAGAAAAAATGCTTTATAATGATAAAAACTATCTCGTATATAATTTATATTAAAAGTTCTAAATTTCTTAAATTTAACGAGCAAATGAAGATCATAATAATAACAGTCACTTTATATGCGATATATCAGAATCGCACGAAAAACATTTGATGCTCATGATTAAAGGAATTGAATGGTAATATATTCGTGTGATTCCGATTTTTATCTCACTTAAAAAGTCTCCGTACGTTGCAAAATTTTACGATAACGCACAAAATCCATTATATAATAATATTGTTGTTGTCAAACGTACCAAATATTAATTTGAATGTTGTATGTTTTAGTATGCTTAGTTTTATTAATTATTTTTTTACTACAGTCATACCTCTCATAAGAACATTCTATATAAGACTAACCTCTCAATAAGAACAGGATTTTGAGAACCAATGAATTAGCATGTAAATTTAGAATCACCTCTATATAAGAACAAACTTTATAAGCGCCAGATTTTCTGGCCCAACTACTGTTCTTATAGAGATTGCGACTGTATTATTTCATTACATCCGGCAGAATAATCTCATGAGAATGGCCACTTCTGAAAAGAACGTGGTTCTCAGATGTAATTAACTTGTATACGAGAAAATTCGATAATGATAGCCACCTTACATTCAAAAACTCATCATTACATGTATAAATATGTGCAATCAGAAGGAGCGCAAATGTTTGAACTCACTCATCTATATAATTAAAAGACTCATGTAATATTTTATGTTGATTTTTAAATTTATTATATGATAACTCTTTTAATCGTTTTTTTATAACATATAAGTTTAAGTTAGATAATTGAACTTAAGCATTAACAAATTAATATAGATCTCTCGCGCCTGGCAATTATTTAATTCAAAACATAATGATAATGTGCAACACTAAGCCGAAAATTCGTATTACATGTACTATACTTGTGCAAAACAGAATATGCATAACACACAAAACGTGGGATCGAAAAATTTCTGCTTAGTGTATTTTTGTTTTAAGATAACAAGTTTTGCTACACTTGCTTACGAAACATACTTAAGAATCGATCAAAAAATTATGCTAAATTGTCACGTATATTCTATCAGAATTCCGTTGGGAAAATCATTTCTCAATTCAATATACATATTTACGATTCATACAGAATAAACGTCAGACACTAAACATTTACATGTACAGTATATAAGCAACTAGCAAAAGAAGCTATTATCAATTTACCTTCTTCATAAATTAGCTTTACTGTTTAAAGAATTACGACTAATTGAGCTATAATGTGTTTTTAATTCTAGTAGACACCCTTGTTGGTTAACGCTTTCCATTGAAGAATTAACGAACCCAACTCCAAAAAACCGCGTTTTTGAAAGACCACCACGACCGCAAAATAGCTGGATAATTTTTCGAAGCGCATTTACGTTTACTTAATCAACATGTTAAAAAAGAAGTCAAGAATACGGCTCATGAAATGGAAAAATTTGCTGATCGAAGTCAAGCATTTCTTTAAATATTTGAGAAGATAGCTTACAAGTATCACAAAAACTTATATCCTAATTATAAGTTTAAATTAAGTAATGTAAAAGACTCAAACGTCAAGAAATGGGTTTTTCGTAACAAAAGAAATACGCATTTACTTCTTCACACATGTCTGCCTCAATGAGGAATAATTTCCCTTCTCAAGAAGCGGCACTATCTTTAGGTCATCCTCTTTGAACGATACAATCGAATATAATCGTACCGTCATCGCCACTTTAACAATAACTATTAATCCTCTCATGATGGATGAAGCTAGAAATTCGATTAACGAGCTTTCAACAAATCAATTGATAATACTTACCGTGCAATGCTCAGTGGAGTGCCCCGGAAATACTGTATAGAATTGAAAGGTGAAGTGTATTATTGCGGGACATTGGGCTAAGTGGGTATTATCAGATCGTCATGGTATTTAAAACAAATTCTTTTTTACTTCGCGATTTTATAACGCGCGTCAAATGATAAGTTTTTTTAATAATATATGATACAACTTTAAATACATGCCAAACTACGAGATATTTTATGTAATTCTAAATGTCAAAGAGAGTTTTTTCAATTTTTAAACATACGTCAAATGAAAACTCTTTTTTTTTGAATGCGCATTAAATGAAAATATGTTTTTTTCAATAATATTGGCACTTTTTATTAGATCTAGAAAAAGTAAGACGCAACACAATGGTGTAGGTTCCGACTGAATGATTTATGGAAAGAAGGTTCCCAATTCGTTCTAAAGATCTTCTGTGGTAGTTTTTACGAAAACTACTGCTTAATTGATTGATGGGACGGGAAGTGGAATGTCCAAACGATGCTTGAAATAGAATCGATCAGTTCACTGGATTCCGAAGGAATACGGTAGTTTCCGCTCGCTACCAATAAAGGAATAAAAAGTTGTACTTATTGATGCGACCAACAAACTAATCTACAAAATTGATTCAATATAAAGCAAATTTTCAATGCGGCACAAAGCAAATTAAAGGTGGGCTTATCCAACGCCAACCAAACAAAACAACCAAAATAAAGTGTGTTTTTATTTAGAATGGAGTGCTTCCATTATCAATCTATGTTAGGCACAAAAGAAATAAAAGCCACTTGTACGCAAGTTTTTGGGTGAGTATCAACGGAAAGAATATTTTGTAAGCAAAGAAATTGTTCATAAAAAAATTTTTATTCAAAGTTGTTCTGACCTTGTTGGAAGGCCAAGAACACCCCTTTATATACATTTACGGTGAGTGACAGACTATAGTACTTCGATCTCTTAACTGGATAACGATTTATTAAAAAAGGACCTTTCTATTATCATTGTACTTCGATATTTTAACTAGATAAGGATCTATTTATAAGGATCTTTCTATTATCATTGAAATTCTAACAAAGGTCAAAGAAAGAAAATTGGCTGAAATTTATTTGTCATGTATTTGTCAATAACTAAAGTAATTTCGAAAAAGGGTTAGTCGTCATTATTTTAATAATGATACTTGCACGGTGAATGATTGCAGGAATTGATCATTACTGATTTACGATTCTGATCGTGAGAAAATTTCGCGAACATTACAGAACTCAATCAGGATTTCATCTGCAAATAAACCAACCATATATACATATGTATGAACATGAAAAATTTTAATAACTGATTAGTTGGGACACGTGGCGATTGCCAACATGTGGAATATTACATCTCAAATGTCCTTCTATAGTGCGCATAATAGTTGATCATGCGCGCATTTTTGTCATCTCTTCATTCAGAAAGAAGTTAATCAAAAATATTTCTTTTTTGAACGAGACAAGAGTTTAAAAAATTAAATAATATAGGAGTATTCTTTTCACAAATATTTTGTTGAATTAACATGTATCTGAAGTTACACAGCCAGGTAGCGCAACGGGTACCGTATGATATCATATAAACGAGTTTCTTCTGGCTACGAACATTACATTGCATCTTTATAATGACAAGAAAGGAATAATATTCTGAAACAATTAATCAGTGCGTTTTTGCAGTGCAGGTAATGATGAAAAAGCAAAAGATAATAGTTATCATTGAACACACAACTTTAAATACACACTAAATTGTTATATAAAGCGATAAAATTTATCTAATTCGCCTTCTCTGAATTTCATTTCCAAAACAAATTTCGATAGATTTTTTTAACTCACAAATAAAATTTAATGATGCATAGAAAAACTCTCGATCTGTTTTGGATCATTCTACTCACGCTATCCTCTTGCTTGTTTGCAGATGATACTTGCACTGTTACCGAAACCACTACGACGGCAACCTACGCCTCTATTGACTGTCCTCCCAGTTCATCCAATTCACCCACAACCAGCAGTAAGAAATACATAGACAACGGTTGCACAACAACTACCACTGTTACACCTACAAAATGTGTTACATGTGCTTCTGCCTTTGAGACATGCAATCCTGATATTACTAGCGCATGTTGTGACATCAGACTAGTTTGTGTAAATTTTCCACCGCCAACGTGCGCTTATATGTAAATGATATACATGTATGACAAAAATTTTCTTTTATTTTACTCTAAGTATCCTGTAAGGTCGATAAATTCATGTTTAAATACATGTAAATGTATCGTTTAATTGATTTCATTGCATTGTAGATCCTTAAATAAAATACTTGAAATTAATACAAAATTTTTGATCTTAACGTTAATTAATTAACCGCTATGACTGTTAGTTAAGGATTCAAAAAATGATGATTTAATTAGTACATTCAAAGACTTCAAGTTAATTAACGTGTACATGTAATTATTGTCTTTTATTTTAATTAATGGATGCATTTAATTAGTAGACATAATGAATTTATTGTCAATATACGTTTTCGCATATAATATATGTTGTCGTGTATTGAGTGAATCAATCATTGTCACGTACATTATGTGTACTCGAATTAATCTGCTATATTACGCGAAGTTAATTTGATATTTAAGACAAAATTTCTTTTCCTTGGCGCAATTAGTTAAAAGAGAATTATCGAATTTAAGTTATCTCTATTACGATATCTTTAATCAATATCGAAATTTCTCAGCATTTTACAAAGTATATCGAGATCGGTTCTGCATGTTACACTATCGCCATATTTTCTATTTGTCGATTACATGTAATATTACGCATCTCATATATCCTATTTCTACATTCTGGGAGCCATTATAGTTATGCGAATATAGGTATTGTCCATTAAATTATAGCTCCAAATATTAAAATTTCTTTCGTAGAAAAATAAAGCAGTAGGTTAAATAATAATTGCAAAGATTTTTAAAAATGAAAACTTTGAACAAAAGAAACTATTAACAAATTTTTATTATTTGACATTGAAATATCTTAACGTGAATGTACTGAATAAGACATGTTTAAAGAATGTCCATTTATATTAATTAAGCTATAATTAACGAATCTAGCTGCAAAAAACGTGATGATTTTGAAAAATCACCATGACCGTAAAACAGCTGGATAACCTTTTGAAGAGATTATGAAGCGCATTCACGTGTATAAAATCAACACGTTAAAAAAGAAGCCAAGAATACGGCTCATGAGTGTAGTCTGAAGTGGAAAAATTTGTCGAGCGAGGTCAAGCATTTCTTTAAAATATTAGAGAAGATAGCTTATGGGAATCACAAAAGCTTATATCCTAATAATAAGTATAGCCAAGAATGTAAAAGATTCAAACATCAAGAAATGGGATTTTCACGAATAAAAGAGATACACATTTGCTTCTTCATTCATGTCTGGCTTGATGGGTAATAATTTTTCTTCTCAAGAAGCGGCACAAATCGTTAGGTCGCCCTCTTTGAACGATACAACCTCAACAAACGAATATAATCGTACCTTCATCATCACTTCAACAACCAATGAGGTTACGCTTCATCCTATGATGAATGCTGATAATGAAGCCAGAAATTCGATTGATGAGCATTCATCGAATTAGCTTCCTTTTTTAATAATAATATTCTGAATACGAATATTTATGAAATTCTTTTCAATGAATCTTTTATGAATAATCATAATATCTCGATCAACAATTCTTTACCATTAAACCAATTCACTACTAATAATCATACACAATACTGTTGTTTTCATTCTCGTTAAAATTACCATTTATCCAAGAATATGATTTATTAAATATCCATTTTATATGATATGTACTTACTACTGATCATAAACAAATCTCTCTCAACAATTATTTCGTAAGTTCATTTGTTAGTTTTGTTATTTCGTTTTAATTTATTAATTATTCGTGTAGTTTATTAGTCCATTGTGTCTATTCCTTTTATCTAGTTTATTCTTTGGTTTTATTTACATTATTTAATTTATCTCTTGTATCAACGTTTCAAAATTTGAGAACTCGTCACTTTTTTGAAATTAGAATTTTGTACAATAAATAAATAAATGTATTATAAATAAATTCCATTATGAAAGTTTAAATCATTCACAACGTGAACTGTTCAGTACGTGCTAGAATCTTAGCTTCATTTGTATTATTGTAACTTTTCATTATCGGCACAATCTTCTGAACAATTACATTATGTTCTAGATATTTTGTATGTGCGATATTATTCAATCTTCGAATATGAAGAGAAGCTTTGCAGTCAAATCTGGATAAAACGAACTCTTGGGGCTGAACAAATTACTTCGGTTTATAAAATAATTCATTATGTTATTTTTGATATAACGAATATAATAAATTTATACAAATTCATTTATTTAAAAAGGCTTTAAACCCTAGTGAAACTCACTCGTATTAAATCATTCAGTACCCCTTGCATATACCCAAATTCGTTAGTCAACCTAACTTTCGAATTGAGTGTGACAATAGATTTCGAATAGAGGTTCATAGAGTGTCATGTATTTTTCACATCAGCCTTTTTTAAAAGAAGGCTAATTATTTTATAAAAATTTTTCCCTGCGTTCAAATTACTTTAAACTTTATATAATTTGATTAAGGCTCAAGAGCACGCCTATATATACATTGATTTTGGGTAACATGTTTTGGTCTACATCAGATCTTTTTAATACTTTTGGTGTGTGCAATTAAAAACGTTTCTTGCATTTTTTCAACAATATCAATAAATTCATTCTTTCTTAAAAAGAAAGAATATTTAAGAGTATTTAAGAGACTGATAAATGAAACCTTATATCTAGTTCTCACAATCGAAGAATTACAACGTCTGCAAAAAAAGGCGCGATAATTCCCGTGAACACAAACATCGGATCATTTACAAAAAGACTGTAAAGTTAATTTACATTATGTAATATCAAGAAACTAAACAGACAGCGAAAGAATGCAGTTTAAAAACGAAAATTGCAACCAAGTGAAATCATGACTTTTCACAATATTGGAGAAATAGCTTAAGTGTATTTATAGTATGAACGAAAATTGTAAGGATTTACTTCAAGTTTAACACCGAGTAGTACACTTATTGTCAGTATTTTACATTTTGAATGTCCAAGAACTTTTTAGACTTGTCCCAGCATGTCCGAAATCTTATCTAGCTTTAGAAATTATATTAGAAATACATATATATGTGTAAAATTAGATTCTAAATATTTTTATTTAGAGTATTAAAACAGATTATCATAATAAAATTTTGAGCTATTAGCAATTTTATTCTTGTCCCAATTGTTCCAAATTGTCCTATGTACTGTACAAAAACACAACAATGGTGCCATACCCATTAAAATAAACACTTTTTCGTGAATATTTTAATTACGGTTTCTGCTTATTTTACGAATTCTCTTGATTTTAACTAGGTTCTTTACATGTGTTCGCTATTCATAACCAAATAATAATCTAAGTTAATTAATATAAATGAATCTGAGAAATATATTTCTAGACTTTCAATGATTTTATTCATTCTGCTCACGCTTCTGTCCATGCATTCATTTTGTTCATTCATTCATGTATATGAATACTCTCTTGCTTATTTTTTCTACTCAAATTTAAACTGTTTGCGCTCATCTTATAAAATAATAAATTAAAATACAGGGTTATAAATAATAGATTTAGAAAATACATTTGATCAAATATGACTTTAAAGAAATCACAGTTTCTGTAATGCCAATGGCTATAAGAAGAGTTGACCATTTTTCAAGTACGATCATATCCCTCTCGAGTTATCCCTCTCCAGTATTTGGTAGAATGAATGTGCTTTAGCCATATCTAAGTTACATCAAAACCTATGTAAATAAGTAAAATTCGCTGATACAATAAAAATGAGTGATATTTCATCACTGCTTGAAATGTAAAATGAAGAAATACATGTGGTAAGAATTTATGCTCATTATCGTTATGAGCTGCATTGGCAATGTCTATCGCTATACATTTTGTGTTTATTAATGTGCTATCAGAATATCATCGATCTTATGATAACAAAATAAGCTTCTTCAGGTTATGTTTGGATAAGTTGCTAATCGAATACATTGTGTAATCCCCGAAAAAATTCTGTGCTAATTATATTCCATAGGGCATGTTAGTTGCGCTAAAATATTAAAAATAATAAAATAATATACATGTAAATGTTCCTAATAAAAAAAAAATGTCGTCTCTTTCACCCGTACATCTCACGGGTATTTCAAACAACGCCTCACAAAATTTCGAAACTCAAAACTATGTTCCTCC